TGGGAATGTCTTCGTACAAGGAAATTGCCGGCTCCCAGGATGAACCAGCCTTATCCAGCCACTGCACACCAACCTCGAAGCGGCCAGCATTGTCTCGGATCTCCTTGAGAGCTTCCACGTGGAACCCACAGTTTCCATAGGCAAGTTGCTCGAAGAGATCCTCGGCAACGTCACGACGCGTTTCGGAGTACAGCTTGGGGTGACTGGCCGGTTGGTGGTTCAAGGCAGACTGAACCTTCCGCACGGTAAATGACCACTCGTTTGCTCGCATTTGAACTCGCTGCACAACGCGCGGAACATGCATAGGACCAGTCGATTCATCGCCTCCACTGTCCCATTCGCGCATGGACAGTGGGGGTGATGAAGTGGTGGTGCCGAGTGTCAGATTCAGCTCTTCCAAAACTTTGAACAATCGCTAAACCACGTTGAGACGGTGCCAAATAGCTCGAACTAGTCAAACAGCGCCGTCGATATTGCCTGAGCCGTCGTTTCAGCACGAGGGTAGAGGCGGACATTCCCGCTCACGTCCTTGGCAACTAGCAGATACCGCCAGCCGTTCGTTCACCTCGACTGGCGTCTGGAGCCAGTCGAAGTGAATGAGCCCGTCGAGTCGGTCGGTGTGCAGCGCCTGTCCTCATGTCCGGGGCTCCTCGACCCCATCCACGAGCATGCAGGCCTTAACGAAAGCCTCGACGTCGGCATCGACACCATTCCAATAAAACAGCTCCGTGATGGTTTGCTTGGTAGCTTGAGCGCGACGGTGCCCCCCATTCCCGCATGGGCGGCCACGCATAACCGTCGTTGCATGTCCACACAGCCGCTCGGGATCCACGTGGCATCCGACGGTAGTACAAATCAGGTCTTGTCAACGACCACTTGACGACGGATTTGTCCTCAAGGTCGGCTGACACTCGTAGTCGAGACAACCGCGCTGAGTGCGGACAATCTCGTCCAAGGCGGGCCACTCGAAAATTTTTGAGCGCAACAGCGACACCAGCTGGAGTAGTCGGTAGACACGGGAACGGCTAACGTCGCGGTTTACCGTGCCCCACCGGCTCAGGAGGTTCCCCAAACTCTTCGTCCCCCGCGATCGGCTCGATCACATAGGGAAAAGTCGACATTACCATGGACCAGAGTTGTAGTTTATTGGCTAGGTACTGTCGATGCTTGCACCATCACCACCTGGGTGGAACATGTACACGAAATTCCGGTGGTCCGTGAATAGATGGAAACCACCGGGACGCAACAGCAGGTACTCGAGGCGCTTGAAAGCCTCGACATGGCAAATGCCTCCTTCTCCACAATAGGCCAGCCCTCGCTAACCCCGTGGAACGCACCACTTAGGAATACAAATGGTTCGTGGCGTTGGTTGGCCGTTTCTAAGCCGAGACCAGCGAGGGAATCTGAGTGGCTCCAGAACAAAAACCGTCGTAGGCGTCGGTATATAGGCAGACTACCTTGTCAGATGTCGGATGGGCCAACAGGACCATGCGGCGCAAAGTATCTTTGATGGCCTCGAAACATGACACATCGTCGCCCATGTTGACCAGGTGGACCCTCTCCTGCGTCGACTTCCGTCTAGTGCCAACTGTCGCCTTGGCAGCGACGCCCAACAGTCGCAGCAGCGGTGCCACCAGCTTGGCGTACTCGGGTATACACATGACTCCAATTGACAGCACACACGAACTGTTGCAACTCAGCTCGAGATGGAATAAACCATCATTTTGAGGTATTGGTAAAGCTAGACGCTCGTAGAGTGTCT